GTCTCTGGTGATAATGGTGATTCCAACGGTCCTCATCAGTGGTTCCCTGAAATTGGTGCTACAAATCATGCTACGCCTGACCTTCTTTGATGACTTCTGTGACACGTTATGATGGCCAGGAGACTTTGCAAGTCGGCAGTGGTACAGGTTTGCCTATTGTTAATGTTGGTTCCGCTTCGTTAGTTACTGATTCTAGGTCTTTTAAGTTACATGATGTTTTACATGTTCCTGGTATCTCTTCTTCTCTATTGTATGTCCAGCGTTTTGCAAAAGACAATAATGTTTTCTTTGAGTTTCACCCCCTTTGTTTCTATGTGAAGGACATTTTGACCAGGAAGGTTCTTTTTAAGGGACATGCGTCTGGGGTCTCTACACATGACATGTGTCTTCCTCAGCTCCTGCTGCGTTTGTTGCTGCGCGATCCTCTTACGTTTGGCACATGCGGTTGGGGCATCCTCATTCTCGAGTCTTACGTAAAATTTTAATGTCTTCGTCTATTGGTACATTTAATTCTAGTGATCCTCCCAATGTCTGTTCCTCTTGCCAATTGGAAAAATCCTCTCGTTTTCCTTTGACTCGTGTCGAAACTATTAGTACGCATCCTTTGAAATTAATTTATTCAGATATTTGGGGCCCGGCGCAATTACTTTCTGCGTTTGGCTATAAATATTTTGTGTTGTTTGTGGATGATTACACTCGTTATATATGGTATTATCCCATGCGTGCAAAAAATCTGATTTGTATGCTATATTTGATAAGTTTCGGTCACTCGTTGAACGTTCTTTTTCTCGCAAGATTATTTCCTTTCAATCTGATTTAGGGGGACAATATAAAAAGCTTGGTTCCACTCTTGCTTCGCTGGGTATTCGCCACAGGCAACCCTGTGCGTATACTCACGAGCAAAATGGTTGAGTAGAACGCAGGCATCGTCATGTTGTTGAGACATGGCTGTCTTTAATGGCTCAAGCATTTGTCCCGTCTCATTTTTGGGACTATGCTTTTGAAACTGCTGTGTATCTAATTAATAAAATGCCTACTCATGTTTTGTCTGATGAGTCCCCTCACTTCCGTTTACATCGATCTCCCCCGTCCTACTCTTACTTGCGAGTGTTTGGCTGTTTATGCTTTCCTGTCCTACATCCTTATAATCACAATAAACTCCAGTTTCGTTCATCTCCCTGTGTCTTTTTAGGCTATCATCTGTCTTATCGTGGCTATCGTTGTCTGGACACTAACACTAACAAGGTTTTTATCTGTCGCCACGTGCGACTCGATGAAACTGTGTTTCCCTTTGTTTCTCCTATTGCCTCGCAGGTTGCTACACCACGTCTCGAACCGTGGGCTACTGCACCAATTGTGACGGGCCAAGGAAGTGATGTCTCGACCACGGTTACTGATGGCGCTCGGCAGGTTCACGAGCCCGTGGCGACTTCTGGCGGTGATGCCGGTCATGGTCACGAGCAGTCCGCATCGAGTGAGCGGACTGTCTCGGACCAGCAGGTTGAGCAACACGGCAGGCCGCGCGGACGTCCTCGACATGCTACTCCACCTCCTCGGGCACATAGCATGAACACTCGCAGCTCCGGCCCGCATCAACATGTTGCCTTAACCACTATTTCCACTATATTGCCTGAGCCTACCTGTTACTCTCAGGCAGTCAAGTTTCCTGAGTGGCGTGATGCAATGGACGCGGAGTTCAATGCCATGGTCCATAATCATACGTGGCGTCTCGTTCCATCTCAACCAAGTATGAATGTTGTTGGTTGCAAGTGGGTTCTCAACCAAGTATGAATGTTGTTGGTTGCAAGTAGGTTTTCAGAACCAAACGGAAGGCCGATGGTTCAATAGACCGTCATAAAGCAAGGTTAGTAGCCAAGGTTTTAATCAGGTTGCTGGAGAGGACTTTTTTGAGACCTTTAGTCCTGTGGTTAAGCCCACTACGGTTCGTCTTCTCTTATCTTTAGCTGTATCTCGTGGGTGGTATATTCGCCAGTTGGATATTCACAACGCCTTTTTAAATGGCAAGCTAGCTGAAACTGTTTACATGCGACAACCACCTGGTTATGAGGATAAGTCGTTACCTAATCATGTATGTTTGCTTAAAAAATCTCTATACGGTCTCAAACAGGCTCCACGTGCATGGTTCACAAGATTACATGATTTTCTTGTCTCTGTGGGCTTCTCGCCTTCTAAGACGGATGTGTTTCTTTTTATCTATTCTCGTGACAATATTCGTCTTTATTTCTTGGTGTATGTGACATTTTAATTATGGGTTCTGACTCAGATCGTGTTACTGCTCTTATTGATAAATTAGCACTTGAATTTAAGGTTCGTGATATGGGTGTGCCTTCTTTCTTCTTGGGAATAGAAACTGTCCCGTTATCTGGCAGTATGCTTTTATCCCAACAACGGTACATGAAGGATATTCTCAAACGTATTGGCATGGTGGACTACAAGCCAGTAATCACGCCTGTCTCTTCTGCTAAAATCACAAACGACGTGGTCGTTCCCTATGCCGATCCAACACAGTACAGGAGTCTTGTTGGTGCTCTCCAGTATCTTACGGTAACTCGTCCGAATCTATCTTATGCTGTTAATCTATTGTGTCAACATATGCATGCTCCCACTACTACAGACTGGGCCTCTCTAAAGAGAGTCCTGCGGTATGTCAAAGGCACCCTGAATCTTGACCTGCGTATTTCTCGGTCTACATCTATGGATATTCACGCATATTCTGACTCAGATTGGGCTGACGATCCGAATGACCGCAAATCTACTAGTGGCTTTGATGTGTTCTTGGGCAGTAATCTTATATCTTGGGTTTGTCGGAAGCAACAGACTGTGGCACGTTCTTCGACTGAAGCAGAATACAAGGGACTCGCTGATGTATCTGCAGAAGTTACATGACTCGTTTCTCTGTTACATGAAATTGGCATCCCGTCTGCGTCTCCTCCTCGACTATGGTGTGATAATTTGGGAGCTACTTATTTATGTGTCAATCCAGTGTTTCATGCTCGCACGAAGCACATTGAGATTGACTATCATTTTGTTCGCGAAAAAGTAGCCAAAAAGGAGTTAGAAGTGCACTTTATTTCAACCAAGGATCAACTAGCGGATATTTTCACAAAGTCTCTGTCGTCTCTTCGTTTTAACTCTCTCCGTGACAAGCTCAATGTTTGGCTAGTCAACCTTGTGCTTGAGGGGGAGTATTAGGACTATATTATTCATATTAGACAAGGACTATATTATTCGTGTTAGACTAGGATTCTATCTAGCATCTCTATATATTCGCTCCATGTACTCTCAGACACTATTATGGAATACAACACAATTATATTCTCATCGTAATTAACAGAGTCAATAGTACTCAACAAAAAAAAAAAAAGTTAAGGAGTAAAATATGGGGACAATTTCGTAACTATTGTAAAATTTAAGCATGCACTGAGCAATGTTTCAAAATGTATCCGATGATATGTTAAAGTATAACCGGTACAAATATCTTGAGTGTATAGTTAGATATTATCATTTTGAGCCATTTACATGGTCAAACCTGACCACGTGTGACTATTGTAACCGACACATAGCCTCCAATTCTTGGGAGCGATTTTTTTTTTTTTGAAATTATATATATATATATATATATATATATATATATATATATATATATATATATATATATATATATATATATATATAATATAATATATACACATACATACATACTTGATAATTATATTTCTAGAACCCGTATATGATTTTAAGTAATTATTATTATATTTTAATTTTTACAATAAAGACGAAAATATTTGAAAAAATAGAAAAATAAAAAATAAAACATAAAAACGTTAACTCGAGTTCCATTTTGTGTAAACTAGTTTAATTGTTATTTTATAATATAAAAACAAAATGGTCATTGATGGGGATATTTGGCATGGGCTAAAGACTTAATGGGCTGACGTGGTTGGGCCGTGAATAGATCGGAGGGAAAGCAGCCAAGGGTGGGGGACGCGGCCGGAAAGGTGGCCGGAGGATGCCGCCAGCTGGCGATGGCGCGCTCATCGTGCCGAGTGCGCGGGCCGGGCGCCCCCTCGCTCGGGGGCGGCAGTGTGCACCTGTCGGCGCCCTCACGCGGGTGCGGTGCGCTAGTCCGCGAGCCCGAGCGAGGCGGTCGCGTGCGAGCGGCATGCGACGTACGTGCTACGTGCGGGCGTTGAGGAACGCGAGAGTAGCGAGCGCAGCGGTAATTACGTGGGACACGTGGACGACGGGGAATGAGGGGGGTACAATATAAATCGGGGCCCCGGTTTCTTAACAAGCGGCAACTCAGACATGACAAGTACTACGATTCAGTGGTCTGGATCTCATACTCTCAACCCTTTCACCTGGGTTTGATTCTTGTTAGTAGCGCAGTTAGCTATAGCCCACCCCGTGGGTCTTATCATTTGTACTTGGCCGCCATTCTAGGCCTATACCTCGGTAATAAACCTATTGCTTTCCTACCCCCGTTCTATATTTATATACCTGGTCCCAATAAAACCATCAATCATCATCGTTGTTATTATTATTAAAAAATTAAAAAATATTTTGCAATGAGTAAGTTATGAATAATATGTAATAGAGCCAGTAACATTCAAAAAAAGTTATGAATAATAAATAGTTAACAGAATATTTCATTCCTAAAGTTTATACATAAATGGAAAAGTAAAAAATGAAATATGAGAATTTTGGAAATGTCTTATCATTGTACAAAGAATAAATCAAAATTTACAAGTTATCAATTCACATTATTAAACCAACATAATTTTTATTCTTGTTATTATAACCTTACCAATATATTTAGTAGATATGAATATAAAATAAAATAAAAATGCAATAAAAAATTTTTGTCAAATACAATTCAAAATGTAACTTAAAAGTGACATTTTTCGTGTATATTTTTTGAAAGCCAACCAATAAATGATTGTATTAATGAAGCAAAGCTGCAATAGTGTCAGGTGGGATTAAGTCCCATGTCCGATCCTAACCTGTTCCTGAGTAAAGACTAACGAAGCTAAAGCATGTGCATGTAAATTAAACTGCCTAGAAACATAACTTAACGAACAATAAGTAAACGAAGTCATCAGCGACCTACAATGGTCGACTGCAAGTCCAGCATATGACATAATAGTTGTTGTCTCCTGGCGTAAAGCATTCCGTAGTTGCAAACAATCTGTGAGTAGATCCACCTCAACCGTATTCCTTCTGATGAGCCATGATAGAGCCTCCTTACAAGCCATGGCCTCCGCCATAAAAGGTGAGAAACAAGTTGGTAGAATTCTGTTTCGCGCCGCTATGAACGATCCATCTGGCGAGAGTAAAACCGCTCCATAGTACGCCTCCCTCGTAGCATGACGGAAGCTTGCATCGACAAAACACCTTGGCCTGGCGTGATGGGCGTGCTCCGGTCCGTGCGGTGCTGGCAACGCGGGGTGATGGTTGGCGTGGCAGTATGACCCTATTGCCGCGGATGTTCTCCTCCACAGGCTGGTGGGACGAGGCAGGGATTTCTCCCACACGGCTGAGTTGCGACTCTGCCACAAATGATAAAGAACCGCCACCATAGTACCACTCTGTTCTTCTGTCAAAATTGTAAGCGCGGCTGTTAGCCAGGCATGAAAAGAATCGGTAATAATATTTGTGATAGGTAGGCCTGTAATATTCCAAACTAATCTAGAATAATCACAAGTAATAAGTGCATGCATAACATCTTCATCCATTTCACCACACTTCTGGCATATAGGATCAATATCCACCCTTTTAATAATTAAATTAGCAGTGGTAGGGAGGATATCACAAATTGCTCTCCACAGGAAAATCCTCCACTTTGGTGGCACCTTCATTTTCCATATACTAGTCCACTTATCAAATACTCCTGGCATATGTTCATAATCACCCATAATACTCCTGTAGGCATTCTTCACAGAATAAATTCCATTTGGGTCCCCAAGCTAATACCACGAGTCATCATAACCAGGGCTTACAGGGATCTTGAGTATACGATTGACATCCTCAGGAATAAATAAATCAGACAATATATAGGGATCCCACATATTAGTCTGCTCATCAATTAAGCCTGCCACTTTCGCATGTCTCAACTCCTCAGGCATATCAGTTTGAATGAGAGGGCTAGGATCATTTGGCAACCACGGGTATCCCCAAATTAATGTTGTTTGACCATCCCCAATCCGTCTACGTACTCCTGCAACAACATATCATGAGCAGCCATAATACTCCTCCAAGCATAACTTGGACTACTGCCTACTTTAGCATCAATAAAAGAGGTAGCAGGATAATATCGGGCTTTATAAATTGATGCAACCAGGGAGGTGGGTTTCGTAAGAAAGCGCCATGCAAAAATTAAAACCATATACGTGTATATTTAGATACAAAGTTATTTCCAAAAATTTTGATGTCAATTTCTTCTAAAATTTTATTTTCAATTGCAATTAAAACCATATACGGGTTCTAGAAATATAGTTATCAAGTATAAAAATAATTAATTATATATATATAAAATTTAAAAAAATTGAGCTCCCAAAAATTAGAGGATATGTGACGTTACCCTAATCACACATGGCAAGGTCTGGCCATGTAAATGGCTCAAAATGAAAATATCTAGCAATGCAATCAAGATATGTGTACCGATTATACTTTAACATATCCGCGGATGCATTTTGAAACATTGCTCAGTGCATGCTCAAATGTAACAATAGTTATGAAATTGTCACTATATTTTACTCCTTGAACAAATAGTCAACACTGCCCCCGGCCACTAGGGCTCGAACCTATGACCTTCCATAAGAGAAAGCATTTCATGCCACTTACTTATAATCATTGATTATCACAATTTGACATATGAGATTATTTAATTTTTTTTTAAATTTTTTTTACAATAAACATTATTCTCATAAACACATGTGTGCACGAATATGAGGAAGAAAAGGAAAAGTGTATTGGTACACTCTATATTTCATATTCCATCTTCTCTCTTCTTTGGGGTTTGGTTGCCACTCAGAACACTACAATATCTTATCTCTTTTATTTTCTAAAATTTTAACTATCACTCGATATATAATCAACTATTACAAGCTTATGAGTTATTCCCTTTGTCCCATTTTATCTGTCCTACTTACTATTCATTAGTCAAACAAACTATTTCTTCTTTGTTTATTTTCTTAAGTATTTTTTACTTATTTTTAAATTTGATTTTTTGTTTTTAATAGTACTTTTAACATACTTTCTAAATATATAAATTTTATATACTAATACTAAACTTAATATTATGAAAAATTGAATTAAAAATAACTTCAATCAAGCCTCGTTAACCGAATTAGACACACAAAATAGGACAGAAGGAGTATAATAATAATCCACTGGACATTATATTATCATTTTCTTTAAACAAAACATCTCTCCGCACAAAAGAAGTAGATTTTGAAGAAAAACCTAAAAGTTAATAAGTATCCTTAATAGGATTCACAAGAAATAAAGAGCAAAAGGAACTTCCAAAACTTCCAAGACTTCTTTGACTTCACTTGAAGTATAACTAACAATGTTTGTTAGAGTTTTAGTTATCACCCTTACAATCTTTTTGTTTATAACAATAGTCCAAATAAATGTGAAGTTTGAACATTATATCATGACTTTCTTTCGATAAAGCATCTCAGCTCAACATAAATGAAATACAATTTGAAAAAAAAAAACACATATACCTAATAGATTCTCAAAGAGAAAAATAATCTTATACCAAAGGGTTAGAATGTTATTTGTATGTCAATCAACAATTTCATATATTGCATGTATAAATGTATAATTGAGTTTTGATGTAGGTTAAATTTTATTATCTTTATTGTGAATAGACTTGATATATCATTTATTAATTATCTTTTCTTAAATAAAATAAAATATTGTATGTACTTACAATAGAATTGTATATATGACTCAACATATACGCGGGGGACTAATTCTTATGACAAGTGGATACTAATTCATCAATATTTTTCTTTCTTATCTTCAAGTTTTTTACTATCCTAAAAAGCATGAAGTCATTACCCTTAACAGTTAGCAGATATCAGTTGCACTATTCAATCTCTCTTATTTTTTCTACTAAAAAAAATTTAAAAATGATGCAATTGGAGTTTCCAACAGCTTCCATCAATCTCATCCAGCTCCCAAGTCCCAAAGGCAAATTGAGTAATTAAACTTATGTGAGCTGCTTTTCTCTGGAAAAAAAAAAAGAAAAAAAAAAAGCTTACGTGAGTTGCTAACTAAGTGATTATTCCTCAAAGAACTTACTGTCGTGAACACGGTTCGGTTTTAGTTCCGAATCGGTAGTTCACGGTTCCAATAAATTACAAATCGAAATCGGCGGTTCAAGTTAAAACCGTCGGTTTGAACCGGTATTTTTAATTTTTAATTTTTTAATTTATTTTTAAAGTTCTATTTTCTTAATATTCATGTTCATGACACATTCTGAAATGACACCACTCCTTTTAATGTTCATCGTCTGATGTTGTTCTAGAAAGATGTGCACCAATGATGATACTAATCATACTATCAAAAGGAAAGAACGATTGAGAAAAATGAGAAAGTAAAATAGATGAATTGTGAGCTAGAACTACCGAAGTTTAGAGTTCATGAACCAAATATTTTTATTAGATTGATAAGAGGTCCTGGGTTGTGTACTTGTGTTTGGACACATGACTCGTGTGTTAGAAATAATATAATATATATGTTTTTTTTAGTATATATTAATATATAATATCTTTTTTTTTTGGTAACGGTTTTCCCTAATTGCAACTGGAACAGGAATTGTATGGTCGGTTTCGACTTGATTTGGTCTAACATTTAGATTTGTATATATGACTCAACATATACGATTATACGTAGGGATGCTAATTCTTATGACAAGTGGATGTCGGTTCATCATTATTTCTTCTTTCTTATCTTCAAATTTTTGACTATCCTAAAAAGTATGAAGTCATTACCTTTAACAGTTAACCGATATCATTAGCGCTATTCAATTTACTCCTATTTTTTGTATTAATTTTTTTTTTTTTTAAAATGATGCAATTCGAGTTTCCAACTGGCTTCCATCAATCTCATATTCTCATCCACCTCCCAAGTCCCAAAGGCAAATTGAGTAATTAAGCTTGTGTGAGCGGCTAACTAAGTGGTTATCCCCTCAAAGAACTTTTAGAAAATTAGAATCTTCTCATCTCCACTTTTCACATCGCAGTCCAATAAAACATTTGAAAAGATGTAAATTACAATAATTCAATATCTTAATAGACATTATTAAATGTGTGAAGACATGATAATGTTATTGAGCATAAAGAATTTGTCTACTTTAGACGTAATTATCACATCATCCTTGACAAATTTTAAATCTTATCTCTTCTCTCAAATACTGCTTACTTTGAGCTAAGCCTGTGAGACAAAATTAGTCTTCTTAAATCTTAATAATCACATAATTAAGAAGTGAGGCATAATATTACGTCTTCTCTTTACCTTCCCCGGCGCCCAGTCAAAGGTCAACCTTTCCTGCCATCACTTTCTTCACTATCGTCATTTGCAATTTGCCGTCCGCTTCAAATCCAGAGCTCTCTGTCTTCCCTTTTCATACTCTCTCGCCTTTTCGCTCTGCTTCTCCATTCTCTTCCCTTCCATCACTGACGCCGCCGCCATGTACGAATCCCCCGCCGCGTCCGGCGAGGATGTCAGGAAGCCGACGGCTGTCAGGGCGATGGAGGCTCTCGGCTGCGGCTTCGATTTCGCCAGTGATTTCCGCTTGAAGTTCGTCAAGAAGTCTCCCGCCGGAAGCAGATTGGTAATTCTCGACGAGAGGAACCGCCGTGACCTTGTCTTGCCGGGCGGTGGTGTCACCATTCCTGATGTTTCCGAAAATATCCGCTGTGATAAGGGGGACCACATTCGCTTCAAATCTGATGTTCTCGAATTTAATCAGGTATACACTTTTCACACTATGCATATGCTGTTTTGTTCTTTCTGTTTTCTTATATTATTATCAGTTTTTAAACTGATGAACAATTATCACCTTAATGGAGTAGCTTCGGATTTTATTGCGCAACTTTATGTATACAATATTCAATAGATTGATACAATTTAAGTTCAAGGCTTGCCGATGGTTTTTTTGTATTTTTGATCTGGTGAATGTGAAATTTTACATAAATTTCGTTACCTTTATTGGTCATAGCATGTACTATGTTCTGAAGATCCAACCCGGTAGCAAAATGAGTTTCAGATTTAGTTAATTTGTTAGTTTGTAACGAATGCTTGATTTGTGTTTCTACTTTTATAAAGAATATTTTTGTGCTTTTTTACTTTTTAGTTTAGACAGGAATATAATTAGAAAGAAATAGCCAAGGCTGTTGTCATTGAAGCAGAAACTGAGATAATTACATATTTGCACAATCATACAAATATACAATAATCTGCATTTTATATAATATCTATACACATAAACACATTTATATTCACTAGTCATATGAGTGAACAACTGAACACACAATCTTTTAGCATGAATTTAATAGTAAAAGAAGAAATGCTTCGTGTTAAATTCAATTCACACAATTAAGGTTCTAATGAAAAGATTGTGTTTAGATTGCTTTCATACTTATGGCATTTAATGATCCTATTCTCAGCAAATCCAAAAGGAATAGTAAAATGAAAAGAAAAAGCAAATTTAATGCTCACAAGGATGCAATCACACAATGGAACATAGAGTGATTAGATTCTTAGACTTCCTTATTTATTAGCATATATTAATTTTCATTGTAGAAAAATAGAAAACGATGTCACTGAATTCAATTCACTTGTTTAAATGGTTTCAATAAAATGAAACTCCGGTGTTTAGATTGGTTTAGTATTTATGGCATTTAATGTTTTGATTCGTGGCAAATCAAAAAAGAAAAAAATGAAATGAGAAGAGAAAGGAACTTCCAATGCTTACAAGGGTGCAATCACATGACAACACATGGACTAACACATTTCATTTGTTGGCTATGTATCAATGTATCAACATCTACTTCTAAATGTGCATGACATGCATGCATATAATTGGAAACTTGTGAGGGTCGTACAACAACTTAAGTTATCTCTGTTGTCTTTGGTTTTTGGTTAGTTTTTTCACCTTTTTCTTTGGTTTTTCTCCAATTGTATTATGGTAAACTCAATGCAGTGTCATCTTTGTTTACAGATGTCAGAAGTGCTTAATCAGAAATCATCAGTACAGGGAAAAGTTCCATCTGGATATCTTAATGCCATATTTGATTTAAGTGGATCATGGCTGAATGATGCTTCTGATGCCAAATATCTTGCCTTTGATGGTTATTTTGTGTCATTATATTATTTGCACCTGACTGCATCTCCACTACTTCTTCAAGACCAAGTGAAAAAGGATGTTCCACCACATTGGGATCCAGCATCTTTATCCAGGTAGATTCTGCACATTATCTGTTATCTTAAATTCCTTATCCAAAAATAAAATTTTTAAAAATTGTTCTCCCTCCTTCCCCTTTTTATTGGCCACATTTACTTTTTTGGGATGCAAAAAAAAAAAAAAAAAAAAAAAAAAAAGGAAAAAAAAAAAGTACCACTATCAATTTTGAATAAATATTCAATGCATGATTTTAAGATGCCCCTGTAAAATGAATCAATATTGAATGCATCAAATGCAAAAGTAGGAGTATTAAGAGGAATATTATGTATTTATGTGTTTTAATGATTAGGCTGGCTTTGCTTAAATTTTCTGTTCAGTCAAAGGGCCAATAAAATATGGGACTGATGTAGTAGTTCTAAATTGACTGCTTTTCTTGTCATGTGACATGTATGGTAGTATTTGCCAAGAACAACAGAATATGCCGATATAATTTTAAAAATCAGATGCATATGCATTAATTAAATGTGCACGGCATTGCTTTTACCTTGGTAGTTATGTTCACATTTGCTAATTAAATTACTGTATGCAGATTTATCCAGACTTATGGGACACACATTATTGTGGGGATGGGCATTGGAGGCCAGGATTTACTGTGTGTAAAACAAAGACCATCTTCAACTATTCCCCCTGCTGAACTCAAAGGATATTTGGATGACCTTGGTGACTGCCTATTTTCTGATGGAACAAGTCCTCTACCAGAGAGGAACAGAAGAGATGGTAAAAAAAAGGTAGTTATATTTGTATTGAGTTGCTTTTTTGTAGTCATTTAATGTGTACTGAAGCACATTTTTTTTTTAAGTATATGCATTTTAATCAATGTTCTAACCCTTTAGGTACCTGAGGTATTTAGCCGCATGTTGCAGTCACATACAATGCAGTTCACTAGCATCACTGAAACATCAACCAAAGATGTAAGATACCTGTGACCTTATATTAGTAAAAATTGTGATGGGATTCTTATGAAATAATCTGAATCAGGGTCTCACAATTATATGGTCAAAAAGAGGAGGAGATGTGTTTGCTCAAAGCCATTTGAAATGGCTCCAAACCTTGACTGCTAACTCGGAAGGAATTCTCTTCAAGCTTGTGCCGATTACTTCTCTGCTTGCTGGGATTCCAGGGAGTGGCTACCTCAGTCATGCAATAAACTTGTATCTTCGGTGTAAGTCTTTCTCCTAGGAATTTATACAACAGAGTCTAGCTCTGACTGTACTAGATACGTTGTTGGTAATTTTTCCAATTCTATTCCTGCTGCTTGATATTGCTTAACTATTAAATAAGTGTGCTAGGTAAGGTTGACTCCTTTGTCTCTTAAATTATGACAATCTACTGACTTAAAAGCACAGGCTGCCCTATTGTATTATAGAATAAACAGGGTGTTTACTTCTTCCCATTTTTGGGGGGAATTTGAGAGACAAGGGAAATAATTCATTTCACAAAGTTATAATTTGATATACTCTTCATGTTCTTTACCAGTAATAACCTACACAATACAATGGAGCAAAGTTAATTGGCACTCTCTTACTTTGTTGTGGCAAACTCAATCTAGCCTTTTTATGGGGCAAATTTATTTTGCCAGAATTTTCTGCATTTTGGCTGGCCAATGCTTTAGCATACTCACTTACCCTTTAAAAATGAGGAAGGAAAGAAATAAAACAGTTTTGGCTCATTCTCATGGCTCAGTTTTGGCTATTTGTTTTTTACTGATTAAATCCTTTTTTTTTTGGTCAGACAAGCCTGCCCTGGAGGATTTACAGTACTTTCTCGAGTTCCAAGTTCCTACACAGTGGGCACCATTGTTTTGTGAGCTGCCACTGAGGCATCAAAGAAGAAAGGCCTCCTGCCCTTCATTGCAATTCAGTCTCTTTGGTCCAATGATTGAAGTGAGCCCTACCCAGGTAATTGATGCAATGCTCTATTGCTCTATGCACTGAAAGAAGTTGGTGATTACTGTTCCGTCTTGTAACTTTCAAGAACTAGCAATTGCATGTTCTTCAGAAGGCATAAGTTGGAACTTTTATGGCTCTATCTATTGTCTATTGCATTTTACTTATGAGGCTTATTTCTTGATTGTATTGTACTCGGGATATACATTTCGCAAGGCTTGCATTTTCTCTAGTTCAAAGTTATTACATTATATTGCAACTATTGCACAATTTTGAAGTGAGGTTTTGTCATCATTGATGATTTCTTGCTGTCTTTCTGTCTATATTTGATGCTACATTTGTATTGATTTTGACTGACATGACACGTCATTATGAAATTTTCTAGGTTTCAAGTGCTCAAAAACCAGTTATTGGCATGCGCCTATATTTGGAAGGGAAGAAGTGCAACCGACTAGCAATACATGTGCAGCATCTTTCAAGTGTACCTAATATTATGACATCTAACTCAGCTAACCTGAGCACAACACTGCCATGCCAATGGCGAGGGTCTGATGACTATGAATCCAGTGACCAATTCTTAGAGCCAGTCAGATGGAAGGGTTATGCAAATGTGTGCTCGTCAGTAGTTAAGCATGATCCAAGGTGGATACAGGGCGACTCCGGTGGTGTCTTTGTGGTGACTGGTGCACAGCTTATCAGCAAGGGTAAGTGGCCTAAGAGGCTTCTTCATCTTCGTCTGCTTTACACCCACCTACCAAACTGCAGCATTCGCAAGACAGAGTGGGCAGCTGCACCCGAGGCTTGTCACAAGACAAATTTCCTAACGAATCTGAGCACAACATTCACATTCACCCAGCGAACAGCCACAGATGTTCCTAAGCAGCAGCTTCCCACTACTCTTAATTCAGGTGTGTATCCCGATGGCCCCCCTGTGCCTGTTCATTCTACAAAGATGCTTAAATATGTTGATACAGCTGAGGTCACACGCGGGCCATATGATGCTCCTGGGCATTGGTTGGTAACTGCTGCGAAGTTGGTTATTGAGGGTGGAAAAATTGGTTTGCATGTAAAGTTTGCATTATTAGATTATACACATGGATGATAGGATTTTACATGTACATTGAACAGATAGTCTAGGCTATTTCTTTGTTCCCCCCTCCCCCTCCCCCTCCCCCTCTATCCCCATGCTGTTCCTTTTTTTTTTTTTTTTTTTTTTTTTTTTTCAGTGAGCTTTAAGTGTTCTGTGTTCATGGCGGAACACACCTCATAGTGGCTCACACCAAAAGAGGAAATCAGAGTCGTAGTTTGTACATAAGTGACTGAAACTGGTGGCCGAATTTTGTTTGAAGTTCATATTAGATATATAAATATATTTATGTGTGCTGTGTTGTGACAGTATCTTATTGGTTGAGTTTGTGTTGTGACCCTTGAAAGGAATTTTTTGGATATTTATATTATTTGAAGAGCATGAAGATCATCCTTGTTATATCCTAACATACCTATTACGAAATCATAATAAACCAAGATCATGATATTCCATTGTTCACCTTAAACCACTTCCAAATATCTTTTAATGTATAAACATTAGCCTGGTTTGTACCCCTTTTGAGGCAGAAGGTATAGCATACTGACTTGGCCATAAATCAACAAGTTTTTCCCTCTGATCTTCATTCTTCAACACTTGCAGCATGGCGAGACACAAAAGACTCAACAAGCGGGTTTACAAGATGGGGTGCCTCATCCTACATGAGCAGAAACCATTGTATCCATCAACAGATAGAGTAAGTTGGGGGATAACCCCAGCGAAGACGACTAAGGATACAAACTTGTAACCACAAGGTCACAAGTTGGAATCCCAGCCCTCATGGTTTGCCGGTCAACTATGGCAACCTAGGCTGATTTACTTTCTTGTGTCTTTTGCCGGCTCGGGTCACAAAGTGTGCACACCCACGGGTTAGTGGCTGCGGGTTTCCCTCGTCACCCCAAAAAATAGAGTAACTTGTGTGTGTCTGTGCACAAGAGAGAGAGAGAGAGAGATAGGGAAGACCTGAGGACAGTGGCCAACGTTGGGGAGGACAATGAAATCTTCAACTGTGTTAAATTTGCCATATGCCCTTCCAAGCTCTAGGGGCTCCCATGGATCCTTGTCACCCCAAGCCACTAAAACAGGGCACTGTAAGAAGTAGTAGTAAGGTCAATACAGGAGCATGCATATCTCTCTTTTGGATAAATAAACAGACCAACATGTGTGGTATGGAAAGTGAAACTACGAGGGAACCAAATTAATATTAACCTTCACTCGGGGCAGTAGTTCTTCGGGAAGAGGCCCTCCGGAGTAGCAAATAAACTCAAGAAAAACATCTACAGCACCAGGTTCAAGTCCTGGACGAAGAATAGCTTCTACTAATTCATCTGTCACCTGGGACGTGTCATGGTAGCACTGCAATACAATTCATTGCCAACTTAATAATGCCCCTACCAAATCATAATCAAGTGTGTTTCGGTGCATACAACTGATTATAATGAAGAGGAAAACGGAAATGGGTTTTCACTATAGCTTTAAATAACCTCAAACTCGACTACTAAATGCTAGCGTTGAAGGTTTTTTATATTTTAACAGCCAAAACAAATAAATGTCCAACAGTCTCATAATTGCCAACCTGACAAAGAATGCTCCTCACTGATTTGGGCGTGGCAACAGCTTTAAAGAACAACTTTCCAATTTCTGTATTCCTGAGAGAAAGCATATGGTAAGATTCAAGGAAAAAGAAATGCCTTGCTCACTTCATATTCAACAAACAATATATATAGGCCATTGTTCAAGTAAGTCCACCCCTTCCCATGAGTCTGTGTGGACAGATCAGATCCACTAAAAGCTAGAGATCAATGGTCTAGATCTTCCCAACTGTGCAACTGTGTAATTGCACAAGAGCCGATATATATATATATATATATATATATATATATATATATATAATCAGGTGAGAACTAACCTTAACTTGCGAACTTGTGAAGGATTGCACTGTACTTACTACATGATTGCACCGCACCCAGATGCGATTGCACCGCAAGGTCCTTCAGGCATGTTTGGGAGCCGTAGCAATGCAATCATGTAGTAGTTACAGTACAATCCTTCACAAGTTCACAGTTCGTAGGTTAAGGTTAGTTTTCACCTGAGAAATCTATATCTATATACATATTAAAAAGCTACAGAAAAATGTTTTACAGGGAAAATCATTCCAGAATTGTGCACTTAGAACTTCAATGGAAATCAAATGTAGATTTTATATATATATATATATATATATATATATATATATATATATATATATATATATATATATATATATATATATATATATATATATATATATATATAAAGCCTAAAATGTCCTTCTACAATGCTTAACTACAATGAATGAATCTATCATGTGTAAAGCAATGCTTAAATGAAAGCACCTAAAGCATATTATTGAAATCTAACATAACAACCTACTAAAGTCAAAGCGCCTTGAGAAGGTAATAGCATATTTACATCTTTGTTTATTATCGTGTTCGGTCTTAGTTTCATGAGGATTTTGGCTATATTTAATCTATTCATTCACCTTCACGGCTTCACCGCACTTAAGCCGCCAACGATGAAAAAGAGGTGTAAAGTGAAATAAAAATTACCTCAGCAAGTTCTGAAATGATCTAATGAAAGGCCTTCCATACCAAGGTTGCTTCGTTATATGCAGCATGCGAAGAGAGATATTTAAAAGAACAATGCCCTTACAGAACCGAGGCTCCATGATTGCAGCCTGAAGACCAACTACTCCTATATAAAAACCATAGGTCCATAGCAAATATCATATTAGATATACAACAAGCGTTTTTTGACAAGTATAAGTTGTATACAAAAAAAAATGTTAAAAGTTAAAAGTTACACAACTAATGAATACCAAGGGAGGATACGATACCTCCAATGGAATTGCAGATAAAGAAGGCTTTGTCTCTCACAACATCATTGCAAAAGTCATTGAGCTGGCTAGCCCATGTCTCAAAGGTGTAGAATGGATCTACAAGTTCCCGAGGGTTTGGCTTGTCTGAGTAACCATAACCAATAAGATCAATCGAGAACACCCGGTGTGATTGTGCTAGAACTGGAATGTTTTTCCTCCAATGGTCACTGATTAATACATGATAACAAGTCAAGAAGATAGTACGGTGACAAGATAATTAGATAATATATTTCATTTACAAGGTTTTAGGAAAGAAACAAATAAACACAGGAAAAACTCTCCAGAAGCAATGAAGTAAATTTATTATCCTTTGCCTTTACATACAGATCTTCAAAAAGGAAGCAAATACTTTAATTTTACCAATGACATAAAGGAAGTTAAAAGCCAACTATCATAGCAAATATTAGAATCCAATAGATTAAGAAACTATATGAATAAATTTTTTGAAAAAGATTGCATTAACGGAGAAAGAAATGGAAACACTTTGCCAGTAAATTAGTTCTGCAATTAATACCTATATCAAATAGTGGACTAGAAGCAATGTTGACCTGTTTGCTCCAAAACCATGAATTAAAACGAGTGCAGGACCAGTGTTCCCAGAATATTGATAGTAGATCGAGTAACCTCTCCACTGCCACTTACTGCAAAACAGTGTAGATATGCTTTAAATTGCTGATAATCAGACAATGATAGAAATATTCAGGATTTCAGGAAGCATAGCAAAGCAAGGAACTATTTAGCGTTCTCTACAAAGATCTTGATCCTAATCTATATTGTTGAAATGATGATTTGCAAAGGAATTCCATTAGCCTTTCTTTGAGCTTGTTAAAGTAAGGAGGTCATATGCAACAAGCTCTAATGTTTCTCACCATTTCTTCCTCTCTGATTTTCATTCTTTGATTCTTCTTCTTCTTCCTCTCTTCTCTTGTTTTTCATTCTCATTTTTTTTTTTCTAAATCTTCTTTATAGCTCTCTGTCTTTACATCATAGGTTTCTTCTCTTGATTATTTACTACTTTTCCCCGTCTCTCTTCCTTATATAGTTTTTCATTAGCCAGTTTGTCAACATAATCTCAACCATTAAAAAAAAAAGATCATGATCAAAATTAAAATAACAATTTGCAACTATAAGAACCAAGAATCTATGAAAATGGCACACCCATTTATATATAGTGCAAGATTAAAAACTGAGGATGACAAAAATGTGCTCTTCAATCAACATCATAATCAGCAAAAAGATTTGAGCTTTTTTACCATATAATTTGTGCTGAAATAAGAGTAGCAAAAATTAGGAATGAGTGAAGCAAGAAATTTTTTTACCTGGTTTTGACCTCAATCTGGGGCGCATTGGTTTTTGAGGCATCATCTACGGAAGGGCCCTGTTTGAGTGAACTGAATAATACACTAAAATTTGACCCATTTGGCTTGGGGAACTTGTTATGGTGTGAAGTTCCAAGGGAAATGAAGAACTGTCTGGGGAAATTTTGATGAGTTCTTGCGGGGAAAGAGATTGAAGTTGGAAGGATTTTCTTGGTTTGTTTGGGAGAAGATGATGAAAAAGAGACCGGGAAATCCAATGTGGACGATGAAGCTAACGTTGAGGTTCCACTTGTGCTCGTCATAGCCACACCCACCATGCACAGATTCAGATTGAGATTTCCAGAGCCACAAGACAACTCTGAAATGTTGTGTTCATAATTAATATATATAGGGGTGGGGTGGGGGACAGGGGGAGTCATAATTTTGAGGTTTGTATGGAGCCACCTAAGAGCGGCCAAGTCCCCAAAAATTTCTATTTAAAAAGTAAGTTTTTAAATCAAGTAATCAACCTCTTTTGGTTCATGTGATTACATATTATGACCAAAACCTATTACTATTACCATTTTTTTTTTTAATACTATTAACTTTATTATAATGTATTATCTATTCATAACTACTTTCTCAACCTATTACCATTACCAAATATTTGATCTCATCTCAATTCCGATTCAACTAAACACACCCTATGTTATGTAGTGTGATAACATTTTTGTAATTAATACATTCAATGGTCCTTCGAGTATTAGCCATATACCAGCTGTGGTCATCCGACTTTTAAACGACCACGAAACGTCCTCCGAGTTTTTAAAAATAAGAGTAAATACCCAAAATGGTCCCTCGACTATAGCTAAATTCACAAATTGGTCCTCGACTTTCAATTTCAACCAATTAAGTCCTTAACTTTGTAATTTTGACACGATTTGGTCCTCCATCTATTTGACCGTTTGTTGACCGCGATCTTTGAGGATATATATGTAGTTTCACGTGCAAAGCTCAAGAGAACGCTCTTGGAGGTGACATCGTTGTTTCAGAGGGGGAAGTGCTTCTCCGCTTGCTGCTTGGGGATCACGAGCCGGTTCAGCTTAGAGAACGCTCTTAGAGGTGACAACGCCGTTTCGGAGGGGGGAAGTGCTTCTCCGCTTGTTGCTTGGGGATCTCAAGCCGGTTCAGCTTGCCTACATCGCTTGGAGTCACGGCTTTCTCGAAGAGCCACTCTAGGGACTTCGGCGATCTATCTATCAAAAGCTATAATCTCTCCGGCATGGGGTGCAACGCGGGCAGTGGATTCAAATGTAATAGTGCGGTCTAGAAATGCAACCGGAACCTAAAAAACCGACGATGGACCATGAAATTACATATATATATCCTAAAAAAGCGCAGTCAACAAACGGTCAAACAGACAAAGGACCAAATTGTGTTAAAATTGCAAAGTTAAGGACTTAATTGGTTGAAATTAAAAGTCGAGGACCAATTTGTGAATTTAGCTATAGTCGAGGGACCATTTTGGGTATTTACTCTAAAAATAACCACCCGTAATCCTCCCGTTATGTTTGATGTCAAATGGCCGTTAAGTGTGAGGGCAAACCTATCATTTCTCCTATATCTCCTTCGTAACCTTCTTCTTCATTCCTCATGCCCTCAGATTTTCCCTCCCTCTTGGCCGACATTGAAGACAAGAAGCAACAGCGGCGGTGGTGGTTTGGTCTTGCGGCGTAGCAGCGTTACGACTCTCGGACCTTCGTTTCTCTTCAGCTCTCTTCCAACTCGCACAGCAGGGCTGAGCAGTCTCCGGTGACATTCCCTATTTCAGTGAAGCAATGTAGGCCGGCGAGCTCTTCTGGTGTGGGTTTCCTCTTCTGGTAAAGGGTACCGGTGTGAGGCAGTGGTGCATGGTGCTGCAAGGCTTCGGTGACGACGGGACGTGTAGCGGTCTTCCGGCAGCACTGGCGACCCTGTTTCTGGCCTCCCTTCTCTCGCCATCGGCAATTTCGATGAGAGTCCGATGAAGCAGCGACGATATCTGTTTTCACCGGCGAAACAGAGCAGCAACGACGTTGGTCTCTAACTCTAGCAACGGCGGTTGTGAGCTTGGTCGACGGCAAGATATTCTCCGACGAAGCGGTTCCTACCAACGACCTTATCTCCTCCAGCAAGCAGTAGCAGCGACTTGTTTCCTTTCGCAGTGGCTTGCTACAACCAGCGAAAATTAATAGAAGCAGTGGTGGAGGGCGATCTATTAGCAACCATCCCATCAGGGCCGGTCCAAACATTTTATAGGCCTGGGGCGAAATTTTAAAAAAGGGCCCCTATATAAAAAAATTTAAATTTAAATTTAATAATACTAAAACAATTAGAATATCAAATAACAAGAAATAAGATTAGAGAATTTTCAACAATTTTTTAAATACAAAAATAATCATGACAAAATTTTTTTACGTGATTTACTCGATGCAAAATCATCGATAATTGCATCAAGATTAATATTTTCTAACATATCTTTCTCAATACACAAAATCGCCAAACCATTCAATCTTTCTTGTGACATTGAAGATCTCAAGTAGGTTTTCAATAACTTCAATTTTGAAAAACTTCTCTCCGCTGATGCTACAGTCATGGGTATTGTCAATAATATTCGATAAGCAATAGAAACCATTGGGTAACAATCCGCAACTTTGACAAACTCAAGAATCTCAATCGCTGACATCAATGTGTTTGACAAAGTCATCTGTAACACTTTTAATTCAGAGAAAAGATCATCAAAATCAACATCAGACATATTATTATGAGAAAAAGTAATTGCAAAATTATTGCAACATTCTCTTAGTTTATTATTATCCAATGACTTCAATATTTTTGAATTATATAAAAATCCAAAAGTATTTTCAAATATCTTTAGTTGTTCAAATCTATTATTCAATGAAGTAATTGCCACATCCACAACAGTTAAAAAATAATTGACTCTAAAAGACTCCTCAGGTGATTGAATTTCCTCTTCATTATCATTTTCATCAAATTGCTTTTTCCTAATAATACGTCGTCCAATTGGAAATGTAGGCTCTATGTCCATATCACATGCAATGTTTTTGGCAATATTCATACTAGTAGCAAACCCTTCATTTCTATATTTCTCAAAAAAATTCATTACACCTTCTAATTGGGTCATTGTAGTTTCAATGCACATAGATTTTGATTGCAACTTTTTGCTTACCATATTAATAGCAAATAAAATATCATACCAAATAACAATTCCAAGTAAAAATTCAAAACTTTGGAGTACATTAACCAAGCTATCAGCTTCACTTTTTGATTGGTCATCATCACAAATTTTAGATAATTCTAACAAAGCTAACCTTATTTGGGGAGCTTGAAATCTAATAGCTTTGGCACTTTTTATTCTACTCTCCCATCGAGTATTTGATAAATATTTCACAGTCAAGTTTGGAACATTATCAAGTAAAATTTTCCACCTTTTTGTTGAACTTGAAAATAAAACATATATACGTTGCATAGCACCAAAAAATGAAACTGCTTTAATACAAGAATGTGTCATATCACTAACAGTAAGATTAAGACTATGACAAGCACATGACATATACAATGCTCTCGGATTTATTCCAAGTAATCGTTTTTGAACACCTTGGTGTTTTCCTTTCATATTCGAACCATTATCGTAACCTTGACCTCTCACATCATCAATTTTAAGACCTAAAGCTTTAATTGCATCTAACAATTCATTAAAAAATCCTAAACCAGATGTATCGTCCACTTTCAAAAACTCTAAAAAGTATTCTTCTATTTTTATTTTATTACTAGACATATTAACACACCGTACTACTAAACTCATTTGTTCTTGATGTCTCACATCAGGGGTACAATCAAGAATTATAGAAAAATATTTAACCTCTTTAATAATATTTATGATGGAACTTTTAACACTTTGGGCCAAAATAGAAATTAACTCATTTTGAATTTTATGACCAAGATAATGATGATGAATTTCATGGTTGTTAATACGTCTAATATGATGTTGCATTATTAAATCAAATTCTGCAATCATCTCAATCAATCCCAAAAAATTACCATTATTATCACAATAAATTTTTTCATTGGATCCTCGAAAAGCCAAATTATGTTTTGCAAGACATTTTATAGCAGAAACTATGCGTAGTAAAACTTGTCTCCAATGTTCTTTTTCTTTTGAAATTTCATATTGTAAATTTTTATCAATAGTTTGATTATTATTCAATCTTATTTTTAATTCATTCCAATTTGTCATATTAGTCATATGTTCAATACTATTCTCATCTTGTTTGAGTCTCTCACTAAGATGCTTCCAATCTCTAAATCCATCATTCGCTAAAGGACTTGTATTGTTATTAGATTTGAACAACTTACAACAAAAACAATATACTTTATCCACATGTTTTGAGTAAACTAACCATTTTCGATCACTAGTTTCTCCATTACTCAACTTCCTAGTATAATGAGCATATGAAAAATGCCTAGAGTTATTATCCAAAGAGTGAATTCCATTTTTGGTCCTACTGTTATAGGGGTCTTTCCAATTTTAGTCCACCATAATTTTTTTTGCCACATTGCATCCACTATTATTAAACGAGTTCCACTTTTAGTCCTCCGTTAGTTTTGCTGTGTGTTGACTGTCAAATTCAGGGGCATTTTTGTCTTTCCATGGTATGTTCTTCACCTTTAAGCTTTTCCACGATGAACTTGGTAGCACCAACCTCAACATCTTCGCCTGCGTTGGTGTTTTGTAATCCTACGCCCTACAAATCCTCTAGCACACAAGAAATATTGCGAATGAAATTTGGATTTAAGATTTGGACCTCTTGAAAAACTACCAGCAGTGATTGAATAGGCAAAAAAAATTTCAAATCTTGAATTAAATCTTGCTACAATTTATAGCAGTGGTTGAATCTGCAGGTAAAATTGTAAAAGAAATTAGAATAATTCTGACCTTGTTTGCTCTTTTTTCATTAACTATTACTCTGTAATTTGTATAAAATGCGCAGCAGATCGTGAAAAGCCTTCACACCTCCGCAAACGTCAACAGTGATGACATGCTTCTCATCTTCTTCAGCTTCGACAATCGCCTCTCCAACCTATCCAATTTCATGGCTTCTTACTCCTTCGTCAGCCAAAGCTGCCGCCGGAGACGACGATTCCATTCTCTTCTGTCACTTCGAGGAGGATGGATCCGTTCGAAGTTTCCCCAATCCTTTCCCACTGTACAACGACACTCCGGTGAATCGTTTTCTGTTGCCTAATGTTGCGTATGCCGGAAAGTTGCGATCGATTGTTCCGGCGCGACGGTCATGATCCAGGGAGCGACATTAGCGACAGAATACCTAATTGGGTCGTTATTCCTGGCGGAACATGAAACGAAAATTCCTCTCTCCATAGCGGAAAACGCTCCGATGTGATTGTGTCACTGTAGTAGGGAACGGAGCTGCCGCCGAGAGACATGGAGAGCACGTCGACACCATCGAGGATCGCATGTTCTACATAGAAAGGGTAATGGAGAAGAGAAACATAAAAAGACGAAAGTACCCCTGAATTACACAGTCAATTGACAGAAAGTTTAACGTGGACTAAAATTGGAACGATTTTATTAACAGTGGGTGCAATGTGGCAAAAAAAATTATGATGGACTAAAATTGGAAAGACCCCAATAACAGTAGGACCAAAAATGGAATTCACTCTTATCCAAAGGAAACACATTATTTAATTCCCTTATAGGCCCCTTTTCAACCAAAATATCTTTTGATTGGTTATCAAGATTAGACAAATTTCTAGGGTCATAAATATCAAAATAAGGAGCAATTTGTTCAATCAACCAATATATTTTCAACATTATACTCATTTGATAAGTTATCATGTTCACCTAAAGGACTATTATTTGTTACATTATCTTGTCCATTCAAATTACCAATATCCTCATCAATATGATCTTGATTCCTCAAATTTTCCTTAGATGGTTCAAGATTATCTATGTTTGGTCTCTCTAAATTTTCATTAGATGATCCTACTATTTTAATAAATTTATTCATAGCTCCTCTTTGTGAGTCTATTAACTGCTCAATTTTTATTCAGAGGAGTAGAGGACGGTGACTTGGAGAATGGCGAAAAAGAGGCAGGGCGGTGAACTGAAGAGTGGTGAAGGTAAAGTAGAAGACTATTATTTGACTTCTGAACTTTTAATAACTTCAATTCATTCTTACCGTTGAGAAAAATTGAAGGGTTGCAATGGATTGTGGTGTAGGTGCGACCGGCGAGGCAGAGAGAGGCGTCTCTTCTTCATATTCCCGTCTTTCCGTCTTCCGGTCTTCTGCTCTCTGTTATTAGATTTTTTTTTAATATATATTAACTATTAAGTAAGAAGTATTATAATATATATAATATATAATATATTACTATATTTTCTATGGCCCCCTATAGACTTCGGCCCTGGGCAGGTGCCCAGGCTGCCCATGTGCCTGGGGCGGCCCTGCATCCCATGGTGGCTTCTAGCTTTAAGGTCTGCGCATTCACAATCTGGAGCTCTGATTTCCAAGCCTTCTCGCCGTGGACGAAGACTAGGATGTACCCGTAATCTTCAGCATTGGAGCTGGAGAGAAACAGAGGCTCATCGTCGTATTTTTCATCACCTACCCAGTTTGCTACCAGAGGCTTCATCAAAAGGTTTAAGCAATAAATATAGGTGAAATGACATGTTTGTCCTCACATTTTACATCCATTTGACACCAAACTTAACGGAGGACCACGGGTAGTTATTTTTTAAAAATTTGGAGGACGTCTCGTGCGGATGACCATAGCTAATATATGGCTAATACTCAGAGGACCATTGGAGGTATTAACTCCATTTTTTAAGTCGAAAAAAATTAACCTTGAAAAAAGTATAAAATAGATATTATCTTGTAAACAATAATGAATACGTGTTTAAATATTACAAAAATTAAATAATTTGAGTCAAATCAAATGCAATTGTTATACCGTGCACCAGGGCACACAATGCACCAAAACGACGTCATTTTTATTGTTCAGATTTTATGTATATTATGTTAAGAGTTTATGCGTATTCTGTTATGAGTTTGTGTATTATGTATTATGTTAGATTATGTGTATTCTGTTATGAGTTTATGTGTATTCTCTTAAGAGTTTATGTGTATTATCTTATGAGTTTATGTGTATCATGTATTATGTTAGATTATGTGTATTATGTTATGAGTTTATGTGTATTATGTATTATGTTAGATTATGTGTATTATGTTATGAGTTTATGTGTATTATGTATTATGTTAGATTATGTGTATTCTGTTATGAGTTTATGTACATTCGAAACAATTTTTTTTTTTGAATTTGACAGTAGAAACGGAAAACAATTTTTTTTTTAAAAAAAAGACATGGTCAAAACGACGTCTTTTTTGCCAGGGCGCACAATGTGTGCGCCCTGGTCGGTAAAAGAACAGGGCCTCAAACATGGCCCTTCCGTAGATGAAGAAGAAGTGAAAAGAAGCAATGCGCCCCAGATTGGGGTTTTTGACTGAAATGGGAAGTGGGAAATGGTTGTGGACAATAATGGGAAGCCTATTTTTTTTTTTTTTGACAAGAATAGGAAAAATGAGTTTGGGAAACGCGGTTGTGGTCAAAACCGCATTTCCCAAACTCGTGTGGGTCACATTCCTTCTCTACGGACAGCCGCATTTGGGAAATGCGGTTGTCGTATATTATACGACAGCCGCATTTCCCAAATGCGGTTGTCGTATAGACATAGCCGCGTTTGAGAAATGCGGCTCTCGTATATCATACGATAGCCGCATTTCCCAAATGCGGCTATGGTATTTCTTTATCACCGGCCAGCCGGCGATAAGCCGACGTAAAAAACGCGTTTGGGAAATGCATTTTGCGAAACGCATTTCCCAAACGCAAATTTGTCCTTGGCGGGCCGGATATTATTCTAATGTTTTGCTACATCCCTTTTTTCCAGGACACATAATATTTTTCCAAATTTTGCGACTCTAATGTGTGTGTAGTTCTCCGAAAGTCTTCATTTACATATTCATACTTTTTTTGAACTTGAGTAGAGTAGACTAGAGTTTTGATTGGAATTTATGTGTGTATTAAACTACATATTACGAAATTTAATTCGAGGACACAATACATAACAAGAATTTTAAGGGCGTTTGTAGTATGTAACTGCAACATAATATATGCATCTAATTTGTGGTTTTTTAAAAAGTCGTAAAAAACAAAGCATGAAATTTTGTATATGCACGTTTCATGATATAGTATTTAATTAAAAATTTATGCGTAATGTTAATAAATAAATTGTCGATTACATGGCATATATAAATCATATAATACATGATTACAATTTGCATAGTTTGAAATATAAAATTTCATAGCTTTTGACAAACTGATATTACACATTTAATAATATTTTGCATAAATAAACAAATATTCGTTACAAATTTCACAAAGGCAAACCCATGTGGGAGTGTATTACTTGTCAGCTTACAAAATCTGGGCGACGCCACGAATGAATAATATCTCATTCGGGCTTTGAATTGAAGGAGTATGTCTGCGGAATTGTGAGGCTGCTGTCCCTGACGAATAAATAATCTCCCTTTTGGATTTTGAATTGAAGGAGTATGTCGGCAGAACTGTCAGGCTGTTGTTCTGACAAAAGAACTACCCCTCGTTGTCATTGGAACTTTGATTGAGGTGCATTTTGTCAACGTAACAACAACCTAGCAATGTAAAGTGAGATTTATAGAAAAAAATTAAGAAGTGGTTGTATTAAAATTTTAGGATAATTTGGTCGAAACTCACCGCAAATTCAACAATTCCGTGCATAACAAGAGCAATCGATTTGTGATTGTAATCACAAGCACTTGCTCTAACCTCAAACCCAACCAATAGAAGGATAGCAATGGCGGAAGAAACCTTTCCCTTCCGAATCGCTCGAAACTCTCATCTCTCGGGTTTATACACATTCGCGAGATTTAATTACATGACATTCAACATTATCCTCTGTTGTATCAGAGTGTGATAAAATTTCAAAAATTTTGAAAAATTTCCAATCAAAAAATAGAAATTTACTACTCTGAAATTGAGAAAAATACAACATGTAATTCAACATGATTAAATATCTTGTTTCAATTCACGAATGCAAACGGAACAATTTATAGTCCAAGATGTATAATACATCCAAAAAATTAAAGTTGTACATAGATTAAAAATCACATGGAGTGTCAGCCATGAGATGACAACGCATGGGTTGTCATCTCAGGGCCGACAGCCCATGTGCGTTGTCAGCCCGGCTGACAGTGCCCTATGGGCTATCGCGTATGTGACAGCCCATTTGGGCTGTCATTTCGATGGCAGCCCCAGCCCATGTGGGTGTCATAATGAGATGTTATCTCATTATGACAACCCATGTGGGTTGATTCATGCATGGGTTTTTAACCGTGTAGTGTGTTGAGTTTTTAGAAGTGTGGCTTATACAAGGTGGCCTGTAAAAGTTTGCAATTTTAAACCGAAGTTAATTAAAGGTTAGTGTATTTTAGCTTTTTTTTTTTTATTCTGTAAAGTTTTTTTTGATAGTTTGTATTGCGTTTTTTATCATAGTTATACCTGATATGTATATTTTTTTTTTTTTTTTTGTAGGAATTACTTTAAGGAAAATGGCAGGTATGAATTTCACATCTTTATAATGATTGAAGTATAAATTATTTCGATTTAATTTTATATGAAATTATTTGTATTGTAATTATAATTATATTATGTATGAGATTTTATTTTCTATAGGTAACCAGGTGGTTGTGTTGATATGTCGTCATCCCGAACATGAAGGTCATAGAGATGATGTAGATTTCAACATTGGATTTCAATACCGTATTTGTGTATTACAACTTTGAACATTAAAAATGTTAACATTATACACGTTTGTATTTTATATTCATAGTAAGCCATTTACATGCAAGAGTAGTTCTCTTTATTTATAGCCATGAAGTCCTTATTAACACTATTTGTGCTGAGCAACTCACTCTGGATGAGAACTCCATTTTGACATATAAGCCCACATGTGGGCTGTCAGACGAGACATCTTGTCTCGCCTGACAGCCCACATGCTAGCTGTCGACACTGCCCCTCTTGGGCAGTGTACCGAGACAAGACGTCTCGGCTGACTGCCCCATGTGGGCTGTCAGCCGAGACCTCTTGTCTCGGCTGACACCGCCACGTGCTCACCCATTGTGGTGAGCACGCGGACCGGTCCACACGGGACCTGTCAGCCGAGACAAGACGTCTCGGCTGACTGCCCCATGTGGGCTGTCAGCCGAGACCTCTTGTCTCGGCTGACACCGGCCTGGTCAGTCAACCAAGTCAAGACTCGGCTGACTGACCCATGTGGTCTGTCACCTCCGCGTGCTCCCAAAACAGGGGCTGAGAGCACGCGGATGGCCACAATGGCCATTGAAATAACACGTGTAGTTGAAACAATCTACACAATAAAAGTAATTTTTATATATAAAGTATCATACTCTAAATACTTGGATCAGATATCACATGGTTTGTATAATTAATAATTATTTTTTTTGAATGAATTATAAAATCTTGACTATAAATATGTCCATTTACCTACATGAGTCTAACTGAGCTTATTATATCCCTTCCTTTATCACAATACTTTACAACTTTCTTTCTTCACATCTCCTACAATTTTTACATTTTCACTATGATTCCTTTGTTGCAACTTCGGTTTTTAATTTGTTGTTTTAGGTTATCTAAAATTTCAAAGTTTTTTTCACCACATGTTGTGCTCATTGCAATGATATTAACTTTCAATTAATTCTCGCGATTCTCTTCTCAATCCAAGAGTGAGAAATACTGAAATTCCACGCACGGCATTTAGCGGTGGTTTTGGAGACCGGTGCAGTAGCAGTGTACTCGGAACGACCACAGTTGGAGGCCGATTCAGACTACTCTTGGCGATGTGTCCCTCGGGTTGCACCTATGGGCTGGGTTGCACCCATCATGTTCATTGTTTTTCCTATCGAAGTGCAAATGGAAAGACTATGAAAAAGGACAAACTGTCAGCCCAAATATATTAACAGTGTACACCTTTACTCTTGAGTTTTTGTTCCATATCGGGTTTTCCTGATACCTGAGCTCGAACTCGAAGTCTAGAGGTTCACCGTATAAATTCCTTAGTTATTAATGTCAAATATTTTTTTCTCATTGATAGCTTATCCTTAAAAAATGATGTATCGTGTATTTTGTAAATTTCAGAAATGTAAGGTACAATATCATATTAAAAAATATATTATAATAAAGTATTTACTTCTAATATTTTGTACTACGTGAATTATTTACTCACACTCAATACTGTTGAAATATCATAATATCATACACAAAGGTGCATATCCAAATCCGATGTACATGGAGAAATATAACTCGTAAATGTATATTGTGTTTTCATTACGATTAAATAATTAAATCTACATCTACAACTAACAACATTCAAATTCCTAGTTTCTTATGACTCGTCCTCACAGATAAAATTTCACAATGTTTACTTAATTACACATTGGTCTACTCTACTCAAGTTCAAAAACAGTATGAATATGTAAGAGTAGACTATTGGATACTAACACGCGCATTTGAGTAGCAAAACATTAGAATAATATTCGGCCCACCAAGGACAAATTTGCGTGATGCGTTTCGAAAAACGCATTTCCCAAACGCGTTTTTGACGCCGGCTTATCGTCGGCTGGCCGGCGATAAAGAAATACCATAGCTATCGTATGATATACGATAGCCGCATTTCTCAAAAGCGGCTATGTCTATACGACAACCGCATTTGAGAAAAGAAGGAATGTGACCCACACGAGTTTGGGAATTGCGGGATTGAGGTGGGAACAATGAAGAAGAAGTGAAAAGAAGTTGAAGAACCAACCGGAAACATGCAATCACTAAGCATGGGGATCTGTACTCTTTCTTCCACTCACTCACCCAATCCAATCCTTATTAGACCTTCTTTTGCTTCCTAATTTCTCCAACAATCACCGCTTTGCTTACACAGCCTTTTGTCTCTTTGATGGATTCTCTGCGTGCGTTGCACTGTTATTCTATTGCCAACGCTAAAATATGCATACCCATACCGCCATATTCCGAGCACGAGGCGCACAACTCTGGGAAAACTGAAAAGATGAACGTACTGGACTAAGCATTGAGTTTCTTGAGTCTGCATAAGAATTAATTCCATTTTGGTTCCTCCACTATAATGATATGTATTCTACTCATGTTTAGGGATGGCATCCTCGAGTGTGCAATATTCATATTCGGGACGAGTTTGGGCACTAAAACTAAATAGACAAGTGTCAGAATTTGTGCTTTCTGGATGGCGAAGTGCGATGTTGTAATGCTTCAGAGGCAAAGCTTGGCGGAAGCTTTAAGGGTATGTGCCAAGAATTTGCTGTTTCATCATGGAAAGCTAGTTCATGGCGCAGCGGTGAGAAGGGGTTATGGATTTGATTTGATGATAAATAACGACCTTATTGATATGTATGCCAAATGCAGTAGAGTGAAGTGGGCACGCAATGTGTTTGATAAAATGCCTACAAGAAATGTAGTTTCATGGACAGCTTTAATGTGTGGGTATATACAGGGTGGTAATGCCAAAGAGTCGCTGTTACTTCTACCTCAGATGATGGTTCATTCGGATGCACAACCTAATGAATTTACTTTCTCAACCAACATCAAGGCGTGCGGGATTCTTGGTGCTATGGAAAAAGGAAGGCAGATTCATAGTTTTTGTGGGAAAAGTGGCTTTGAATGGTACCCAGTTGTTGGGAATTCGTTGATTGATATGTATGCGAGATGTGGGAAAATAGACGAGGCCGAAAAGCTTTTTTATGCAATGCCTCATAGAGGTCAGATAACTTGGAATGTGATGATAGCAGGATATGCACTAGAAGGTATGGGCGATAAATCTTTAATTTTGTTCAAACAAATGCAAGAACATGGCGAAACGCCTGACAACTTCACATTTGCCAGCACCTTCAAAGCTTGTACTGGTTTCAGAGCTATCCATGAAGGAAATCAAATTCATGCTTTTCTAATTGTGAGGGGATTTCCCATTTCAAGCGACCGAGTTATTTCTGGTGCACTCATCGAACTGTATGTCAAATGTGGGAGCTTATTTGAAGCACAGAAGGTGTTTGATCTAGCAGTACAAAAAAGTATTGTTTCTTGGACAACACTAATTGTAGGTTATGCTCAAGAAGGCAATTTAGCGAAGGCCTCAGACATGTTCAGAGAGCTTAGGGAGAGTGAAGTTCCCATGGATGGGATTCTTCTCTCTAGCTTGATGGGTGTTTTTGCTGATTTTGCTCTTATTGAGCTGGGGAAGCAGCTACACTCTTATTCCATCAAAGTGCCATGTGGTTTAAACACACCAGTGCTTAATTCAGCCATTGATATGTATTTAAAATGCGGATTTATAGAGGAAGCTGAAAGACTTTTCGATGATTTGCAGGCAAAGAGTGTAATCTCTTGGACAGCGATGATAACGGGCTATGGCAAGTATGGACTTGGCAGAAAAGCAGTGGAACTCTTCAAGAGAATGGAATCAGACAATTTCGAGCCAGATGATGTTACCTACCTTTCCATGCTTACAGCTTGCAGTCATTCAGGACTAATTGACGAAAGCCAAAAATACTTTTCAAAACTGTGCAATGAACGTCGGGTAAAACCTCGGGTGGAGCACTATAGTTGCATGGTTGATGCCCTGGGTCGTGCTGGGCGCTTAACAGAAGCCAAGAATCTTATAGAGAGTATGCCAGTGGAACCAAATATAGAGATATGGCAGACACTGCTAAGTGCATGTAGAACGCATAAGAATGTCGAAGTGGGAGGGGAAGTAGGGGAGATGTTATTGAGGTTGGATGGTGACAACCCGGTTAATTATGTAATGCTGTCAAATCTATATGCTGAGACAAACCACTGGAAAGAGTGTGAAAATCTAAGGAATGTGGTGAAGACGAAAGGCTTAAAGAAGGAAGCAGGGCAGAGCTGGGTGGAGGTGAAGAAAAAGATGCACTTTTTCTACAACAGAGATGAGAGACACCCAGACACGAAAGCCATCCACGAGATTTTGAAAGAGATCGAGAGGAAAATGAAAATAGAGTTGGGGTATGAACACGCAATCAGGTTTTCGTTGCATGATGTAGAAGAGGAATCAAGGGAGGAGAGCTTGATGTTTCACAGCGAGAAACTGGCAATCGGATTGGCGTTGCTTAGTGAAGAAGAGAGTGGAAACGAGGCAAAACCCATTCGTATTTTCAAGAACCTGAGAGTTTGTGGAGATTGCCATGAGTTCATCAAGGGTTTGTCCAAAATTTTGAATAAAGTTTTCCTGGTAAGAGATGCTAACAGGTTTCACAAGTTTGAGAATGGTGCATGCTCTTGTAGAGACTATTGGTGACAAATGAATTTAATAAACCTGCTTTATTGTTAACTTCATAATACCTTATTTTTAACAGCCTATTTAACAAACAGAGGGAGGGGAGGGGTGAAAATCGACATTTTTGAATAGTTGAGATATATTCCAAGGAATCATGTGAAACTTTGTATTATTGCATATTTGCATAGTCAATAAGAAACACTTACACATGAACTGTGATTTATTATTAAGATTAAGAACAGGCAGCAGCATTACATTATTGTTGAAGTATCATAACTAAATATTCTATGAATAGCAGGGCAAAATTCTAGTAGGAAAAAAAACACAAGAGAAAGGTGGTATTCTTACAACGGTTGGGGGCGAGACTGTACGATGAAAATGTCTTTTCCGACCAGACATCCTTCGACATCTTGAGGGCACCCGAATTTGCGCTCTAGGAAGAAACCAACAGTTCCAAGTCGCTGCCCAAGTTGATGCCTGAAAACCGGGTCCACTGTCAATGGCTTCTTGCTGTAATCCACAGTTAACCGAATGACCTCCCCATCAGCTGGACCAGTGCCATGAACTATCATCTCCTCGCTGAAATTGGCGAACGCCAGTGTCTGCACCTTGTCGTCAAATTTACTGCTGGAAAGGCGCCAGGGAGTGCCCCTTGTGCCGGAGGCAAGAGTTTCGCCTAGTCCTGATGCTATTTCGGCCTCGACAGAGTTCTGGTCATGGTCTGTCGGGCTTAGGGTGTGGAGCACAAAGGAAAGATTCGGTGAAAGCATTTCTTGCACCAACACAGCCATGGCAGCATCCTTTTGGGGAACACCAGCAGCTCTGCGGCTTAAGACTGCTCTGCGGGTGTAAAGTGATGCCCAAACACGGCTTATACAATGCCCGAAAACTATTGGATTTGAAGGGCTGACATTGGGAATTGATTCATATAGACCAGCCGCAGACATCCCAGCCAGGTCCTCAACATTAGCACTCGAGCGTACAATTAACCGTGTTTGGCCAGGAAACATACTTTCTAAGGTCTCGATGACGTTCGTTGGAGGCTTTAGTGAAGTGATCAACTCCTGGATTTCATTACAGAGTCTATCAAGTTCACCGCCCTCAACTTGAGCCGTTTCTATCTGTTCCACAAGAGACGTGAAGGTTTCCATACACTTGCTTTGTTCTAGAGCCATCTCCATAGTCCCAAAAGGTATAACAGCTCCAGTAGGCACATTAAATGATGCTGGCACCCCTTGATCATTATAAACTGCCATTCGACGAGAGGAAGAACCAGAAGATAAAATACATAAGAAAGATTGTGACATTTTTGTCAAAAAAGGAGCAACAATAATTATGATCTGTAGTCAGAAGCATTAAATAGAGGTGGTCACATGCACCTTTTTGAGAAGCCGATGCCAAAGAGGCCAAATGAGCACAGGCAGCAGCCTTTGCCCCCGAACTTTGTATATCTGCATCAGCAAGTGGCACGACACCTCCAGTAGATGCAACCTGAACAGGCGTATAAGTCAGATTGGGCCAAAGTCCCTCAACTGGGCTATGATGCACATGGGCCAAAACCACACTAAAAGACTGAATCCAATCAATTAGCTAGTCTAACCCATGGCCTTATAAACCCATATGTTCTCTCTAATTTTTTCAATGTGAGACTCTTATAACATTTTGGTGCAACATAATACTCGGTAAGAAGAGAATTTTGCACCTGTGTCAAATAAGTAGTAACTGCAGAAGAGCTGTTGTCTGATGTGGCCACGTTTGTCAAGGAGCCTTCAGTGGAATTTTCCACGGAATGGATACTGCTACTGTTCTCTTGTGAAGAGGGGTTTAACTTCACACCTGTTGATGATGCCTCGAGCCTGAAAATTTTGGGGAATAATTGTTTATGGTGAAATTAAAGTACGAAAAAAATTGAAAAACCAAATGTCCAAAAACAGAGCATCACTAGTAGACTTCAATAACATAACCTGACATATTTTCCGATCAACCCTTGTAAATTAGTGATTTCTTCATCATCTTCACAAGTCACAAATACAACTTTTTCCTACAAGTCACAAGTAACTATAAGAATCTACAAACCTTAATCTCAACTTTCAGAGGAAGAGAAGGGGGTCGGGATTATATACAAAACTTGCCTGTCGGGCCCTAACGCCAAGATGAGATAAATGAGGCAACTCTTGCAGAAGTATAATGCCAGCTATGTTACTCCCAGCAGCTGTTACCTGGAAAAGAGTCAGACCGCTATTATTCATTGCATCTTTTGGTGAGCACTATTTATTCTGGCATAACGGCACATATATGAAGGCTAATTAACAAATATATATCGTCATGAGAGACATAAGCAACCTCTTCATCCCCATCAGCCTTGCTGACAACAAGAACGACAGGTCCAGTTTCAGATGAAGGCAGTGAACCCGGGACTATTCTATCCACCTGACATTCAACAATTCGGTTAAAGAATACTCCACAAACATATTTCGGATGAACAAACAAATGACGAGAACAAAATATTCTGGTGAAGACACAGTTTTGCTGTAAAGGTTACACAAAATTAACAAATATATATATCGTCAGTACAAGTGAAGCCACCTGTATTAACTTTCCATAAGAATCTCCTGGAATGAGGACATCCCACCCGTGTGACCCGAGCGTCCTTCTAACGGCCTTTAGAAGTAGGGTACACTGCTTTGAAACCTGAAAAACCACTCTGGACACAACGTATGCTATAAGAAATTAGATTCCACTAAGATTCTTTTAATAATGATCATAGAGTAATAGTCCAAAAAGCCAGATCACTATGATCGTTAGGTATTAACTAATTTGATCAGAATTATGAAAATCATTATGCAATTGTACCCAGCACGAATTTCAGCTTCTGTGTATGTTCTCACGCTATTTTCAGGAATCCCCAAAGCTTTTCCTAAGATCTGCAAGATGTGGATTCAGTTAAAATACAAAATCGATAAATAAATAATAGTAATAATCAATCCTCTCTTGGGCAATAGTAGAAAGCAAGAATTTAAAGATTTAATTCTCAATGCATTTCTTTAGCCAAAAAGAACTTGTTTTTTAGTCAATTGCGACAAGAAATATTTCTGAGAAAATGATGTGGAGACTAAAACCAATAAGTCCGATCCATCCAGTTGGCACTCAGCAATATGATATCCAAGTGATTATGGATGACAAGGCAATAACAGGGGAAGCTCAAGCCAACATTCCCACAAGACCAAGAAACATTTTTTTTTTTGAGTACTACTGACTCTGTTACAATGCAGTATCTGTTCATAACTACTTTCTCAACCTACTGAAGCACAAAGAGTCAATATCACCTCCACTGAGACTCGAACCCACGACCTCCAATATGAAAGAGCAACTTGGTGCAACTAGACCACAAGGTGCTTGGCAAGAAACATTCTATTTAGACAATATAAAATTGATAAAATATAAAATTGATAAAATTGAATTACGGAGTACATCAGAGGTTGCAAATTAAAAGATGCATAAGCAAAGAGTTTCACCTGGACTTTCTCAGGTAATAACTGAAGAAGTGCCTCGGAATACTCTTCAGTCAGCCTCCTACATCTGTCGAGAGTGGCTTTTAGTCTTAGTGCCCATATTTTCCTACCATCTTCATCACCTTCAGTTGAAGAAGTGAAAAGAATCTTAAGAACTAGAAACATGCAATCACCGACAACAATGAACTATTGACGTGAAGACCAAACCTTCCATATCTAAAAAGCCCCTCTGTTTCCAACACAAAAGCTCACTTCCAATAGCTTCACATTCTTCTGACTTCCAACCAGAAAAACCTAGTTGGTGAATGCCAACCATGAGCCCAGCAATTGGATTATTCCACTTGTTGACATTCTTTGGATCTACGTTTTCCACAAGCCATTGAGCTCCTCCCAGATTTTCAACTGAGTTGATGAACCTACAGAATTAGCATTTCAGGAAAATGAGGCCAATTATGCTTTCTTCTTTTTTCTATAAAAGGAGGGAGGGAGGGAGGCAGAGGTTAACTGAGTAGAATGCATAATAGCTGTTCAACTATGTAAATATATGTGCTCACCATATAACCACATTAATGGATTCCTATTGTTATAATCTAAGATTGTGTCAAGGTCACTCAATTGGGCTATAATGCACATGGGCCAAACCACGCTAAAAATTTGAATCCAATCTATTAGCTAGTCTAACCCATGGTCTTATAAACCCATATGTTCTCTCTTAGATTTTAAATATGGGACTCTTAACACCTATAAATTGAATTTCCTTCTGGATTTAGAAGAATAGAGGCTATCAACTCAACAGTTGAGAAAAAGAATGTATATTCTCAAAATCAATGTCAACCTTTTTTTTTTTTTTTGCAATTATGATTAATAAAAGGAAAATTGTTATCATTATCGATGTTATGCAAAGAATTACACAGAACTTAGTGTATTAGCACTCAGCCCCGCATTGATTTCAGGCACAAGTAAAAAAAAAAAAGCTCTCGCTTCAAATATGCTCTGGCATACAATATATACCTGCTCAAAAGGACAAATGCATAGTCTTCTAGCCCAATCTCAGAAAGACGCCACTGCACAGTAATAAAGAATGCATATTCTTCATTTGATTTGCAAAAGATAGACAATATTTATTTAAATGTCAATACTAGAAACTATATCAAACCTTTTGGCGCATTGCAATAGAAGCATCAGGAGCATCGTTTCTAAGGCCACTTTCAAGACCCTTAACAAGTACCTCACGGAGGGCATTTAAAGATTGTAATGTATTCACTAGAAGTGCAATTACTCCACTCTCAGAAGCATTGCTTGTTTCACCCATTTCATCCAAGGCCTAGAAAGATAAATGAATCAAACTCTGAGAAAAAGAAAAAGACTACACAAATTATTGAATGTGCTCACTACTAACTAGTAGATCTTACCTCCCAAAAAACCAAGATAATCTACTCAAGTTGAAAGAACATAAAATAATACTCAGTAATAATAATAATAACTATTCCCTCCGTCCCATTTTATGTGTCTAGTTCAGTTAATGAGGCTTAACTGAAGTTATGTTTAATTCAATTTTTCATAATGTTAAGTTTAGTATTAGTATATAAAACTTATATATTCAGAAGCTACATTAAAAATACTATTAAACATAAAATAAATAAATAAATCAAATATAAAAATAATTTTAAAATACTAAAGAAAATAAGCAAAGAAGATAGAGTTGATTTGACTAATGCATAGTAAACAGGACATGTAAAATGGGATAGGAGTAGTAAATAAATGCAGTAACAAGCCTTTGTGCATTGATATTTACTAATTTCAAAATTTCAATTTAAAGACTTGAATTTATAACTTATTATCTCTTACTAACAAGTGAATTAACTAAGTTAGCATAGCCAAGGGTGCTCATCACTAATCCTAGGCACTCAGTATCTAGAGCAAAATAAAAGCAATTTTTGCACAATGCTGAAAATTCACAAATGTTGGAAAATTACTAAACTGATTATTTGAAGTGGTCAAGTAACCTCATTGAGAGGCTTGAACTAGATTCAATACATGTTATGGTGAGGGAGTTCCTAAGAGGCTAAGAAACTCGAGAAAAGAATATTGAAGAATTGGCCAATGCTGGAATTTTCTACTCTCATGCCGACATGCCTCAAATATTTTATGACTGAAATTTAGAGTGGATTCAATTTATGTCTAAACCAGTCAATTCATGTCTCGGACTGACCAGAGAGAACTGTTTACCTTTTTGGACTCGGAGAACAATGAAAGAATTGATAAGCTTCTTTCATCCAATGACTCTCGTATAGATTCCAGTTGCTCTTCAAGACTGAGTGAATAGGCCAAACAAAATTGTCAAATTAAATTATCTATTAATGAATTCAATTTTCAAGCAATGAAGCATACATGCAAATATATATGGTTATGACAAATCTTATTGCTGATTTTATTATTATTTTGTTTAGATAAGTTATAAATCATATTGGCAATACTGTCAAATTATCTTATAGGTGCTAATTGGATTGAGATAGCAGAATTGATATACTAAATAAAACTAGCACGCAGGATATAATAATGAACATTTCACACTAAAACATTTCTGTCACTTCCAAGTTCCGATAATCAGATTGTCCATAAATATTACAGTATTAAACCTTTGCAAATGTTATGACCCAGATTTTACCCTCCAAGCACAAAATTGAGTCAAAGGTATAACAATTATAAAGGTAGTTTCAAACTTCAAACAATGTTGACTTGCACGAACATTATGGATAGTTACAAACACATAATTGGTTTATACCATACCTTGCAGCATTGAAGAAATCTTTTAGTTCATGATGGAATATCTTGAACTGTTCAACAAATGCTTCACTATATTCTCCAGGATTTTTAGTTATCCTTTCAAGCATAAGTTCGGTTGCAACTAAATCTTCCGGGCCAGCATTCCGATGAAGCTTGTTTTGTATTGTATGTTTGATTTCTTGCTGAAAACAAGGTACATATAAATAACAAAATTTTGAGAACATTGAAAACATTCAGCAAACAAAACTACAACCTTAAGATCATGAGGGATGTCATTTCTATGAGCGATATCTCTGATTCTTGTTAAAGGGACAGATGCAGTAAACTCTGCTTTAAAAGACGGCAAACATGGATGGATCTTGCGGATTACAAGTATTTCCTGCATATCATCCAAGAGAAAAAGCTTAGTTAGGGATAGATAGCATCAGTGTTTTGTGTTAAGCTTATAAATATTGAATATATATTCATATAATATCACAAGACTAACATATGCATTAGATTTCTTGGAATCTGGAGTCATAAAAAGATCAGAAATTATGAATAAAACAAAGCAACAACTTTAGAACTTTAATCCATTAAAAGAATGATATTCATTGTGAAGACTTAAAGAAAGGACCCATCTATTATATCATCCAAGTAGAAAGAAATGTCTTCCAATAATGTGCAGAAGAGAAACTGTGAAATAGATATATATTAGACCAATTTTCAAATTGATGAATGACCACCTGAAGTGTTGCATCTTTCCTGCCCAAGATTCTTTCTAGTTCACAAAATATAAGCCTGGAAATTTCAGCATGTCTATTTGGCCGATGATGACCACCATCTTCAAAACAAGGAATTTGCCCGGTGTTTATCCACTGCAAGTAAAGGCATCTTTCAGTAGAAAAATGAAAAGATTGATTCAAGGATGCAAATCAATAAAATAGCATCACAGAACCTTCAGATATATAGCTGAATATGTAAGAGCCTCCAGGCGATGTGTGCTTTCCACATTCTCAACAATTAGGTCACGCACAACTTCAAGCTGTAAAATAAAAAATAAAAAAATAAAAAATAAAGAGTTAACAAAGGAACAATTGAGATTCAAACAACAATCTCTCCTAAAATGTCTTTTTTTTTTTTTTTAATTTTAAATTTGTGATAATATTACTATTATACAGAGCAAAAATCCATATAAACAAAAGAATTTATATCAATCTATAATAATAACTTTAAAGTTTAAATAGTCTGTATGAAAAACTTGTCAAACCAAAAGTGAATATACATTTCACCACAGGTTATGAAGCTTCAGTCCTCCAACTACCATGACCAGAAGATTCATATAAATTTGCAATGATCAGAGTATATACACACACATACACACACACACACACACATTGAAGCCACCAATTTCACCTTTCGCCACCAATTTTGAGAATTCTTGTCGCCTTCCACTAGCTTTAGCGGAATCTCTGCAAGACCTGATGTATCCCACTTCCTATTCTTTTCCATGCCCCGCTGATCGTTTGAACGGACAAAGGATACAGCCTTCCCTTGCCACTGCTCCACAAAAGCACTCACCTGCATGTCCGGGTCGGTAGAATCTTTAGTAACTACAGGTCCATTGTCAGCAAGCACTTGTGCTTCATACTCCCCTTCTGAATCCAAAGGCAACAATTCCAGAGGCTTATCTGTCACGTTCCATTGACAAACCATCTTAAAACTTCCTCCTGCTGGAAGTTTCAAGACCCGGTTATCCCCAGTTTCCCAAAGTAGATTCTTATCCTTTCCAACAATTACAAATTTGAATTCTACAGGCTCACCCCCCTTTAATTCCATTTCCGAAACCCAACCTTTTTCTGTCCAGTCCATCATCACATTCTTCTTCCATGACCCCAGTTCTTTTGTTGATCCCATAATCGCAATGTGCTCACCGTATTCAACTTGGTGATCAAGCCAAATCTTCAGCTTCAAATTTTCATGAGCTGATCTTTTTTCCTTTCCTTTCTTCTCTACCTCCCTGTCTCATGAAAAAAAAAATGTTGTCAAGACTTAATACCAAATATTTATAGAAAAACTCAGATTCAACAAGTTAAATATATCAATACATCCACTTCTGAATTAAACTATAGTACTCTGAAGTAGAATGACAGAAAAATGTAAGAAGAATATATATTTTCTATTAATTATTGCATTCTTCAATAAACCCGTTTCCAATTTCTACAAAATGTAATGGCACACAAGAAATTTGTGAAATTTTTTATTCTTCCACTGAAGGGCAATCTCCCTATCTTCCCCAACCATACAAGAGCTATTATTTCCATTTCTGCTACTTTCACATTATGCACATAATTTATATACTATCAGTAATAATAAAAAACCAAATTTTGTAATAAAAAAAAAAAAAAAAGAAGACCAAATTTAGATGAAAACTGTAGATTAACAAGAACAAAAAAAACAATAATAACAACAGAAAGTAAATAAGGCAAGATGTAGGTGGATTCGTATTTATAAGCATCTAATCAAACCAATTCAACGATTTCCTAAAAAAAAAAAAAAAAAAAAAAAAAAAAAAAAAACCTGGTTTCAACAGAAGATACAGCGCATATTGTTCGAGAGGAAAGTCCTCTTGTTGGTCGGTTCATTATGGAGCCCGGAATCCCTTGGGGCTCCAATATCAATCTGGGCTCACTGAATTTCAGTTTTCCCAGACTTGTGCGCCTGGCGCTCGGAATATGGCGGTATGGGTATGCATATTTAGCGTTGTGCAATGCACGCAGAGAATCCATGAAAGAGAAAAGAGTGAAAGAGCAAAGCGATGATTGTTGGAGAAATTAGGAAGCAAAAGAAGGTCTAATAAGGATTGGGTGAGTGAGTGGAAGAAAGAGTACAGATCCCCATGAGCGATCTGGAAAGCATGATGGGAGAGATATGTGACATTAGTTTGGTTGTTTTGGCAGAAATAAACGGCGGTTGTCCGTTGCCTAAACACCCTCCATTTTTTGGATAGCTATAAACAATATAGTCACGACTCACGTGGCTCATGACTCGTCAGCCTAACGCTCCAAAATTTTACTGCTTCGTCATATTCGTATAAAGGCATCCCATTCAGATATTTTCCTTCTACAGTAGTTCTAGCCGACTAATATCTTGTTTTTTTTTTAAAAAAGAGAAAATTATAATGTAGAAGGCAAAATTTTATATGAGATCGTTTCATAAATTTTTATATAAAACAAATTTAGTCAAGATAAATATGTAATATTTATGATCGGTCCTGATCAGGGACGGAGCCAGAAATTCGATTAAGGGGGCAAAGAAATAGGACGGATTTCAAAATTTTTTTCAGTAAAAGCGAAACATTAAAACAAAAGATATAATTTAAAAAAAAAATTACCTAAGATTTTTTTTTTTATATAACCATTACTTAAGAAATATAATTGTAATTTAATAAAATAATTTGAATAGAAAACACATTATAAATTATACATATAACTATTAATATAAAAGAATGTTATATGTGTGTGTGTGTGTGAGAGAACTATGTTAATGCAAGGTTTTTCAAACCCAAGGCCTTACAAATTACCATAGACATGCTCTACCAACTAATCTAACTCCTTACTTGTTAACATTTGTTAATTTTTTTTTATACTAATACTAAAACATATATTATATATATACATATATACATATACAAATTATATATGGGGTGGGGGTGGGGTGGGGGGGCAGCTGACCCCCTGCACCCCCTCTGGATCCGTCTTTGGTCTTGGCCACGTTTGGTTAGGGCGATCACACAGGGCCCACAATTTTTTGGGGTCAATTTTTTTTAAAAAATATTTTAGATATAATTTATTATTTTTTATAATTTATTATATATATATATATATATATATATATATATATATATATATATATATATATATATATATATATATATAATCGCGCTCAGGTGCGAATGCCTCGCCCAGGCACGAAATAGGAATGGATTCTGTCCGTCCACGTGTCCAGATCTAATGTATGAGAAACACTGATTTTTTAAAAAACGCGGTGGCATTTTCGTAAATAATTGAACATCGAAGTGCAAGTAAAATGTATTACAAGTGCATGTAAAATGTATTATAGGTGCAAGTAAAAATTTACACTGAGCATCAATACTTAGTTGCACCTATAGTTCTAAGTAGTTGCACCTATAGTTCTAAGTAGTTGCACATATAGTTATAAGTAGTTGCACCTAGGTGTATGAATGTTTGCGAGTGGTTTTCAGGTGTATTACTACCCGCTGAACTCAGATCAATGAATGTTAACAAGACAAAATTACATGCACTTATAGGTGAAAGTAGGTGCACCTATAGTTATAAGTAGTTGCACCTATAGTTATAAATAGTTGCACATATAGTTATAAGCACACCCAGGTGAATGAATGGTTGAGGGAAGTGACACCTAGGTGAATGAATGGTTGAGGGAAGTGAATGTTAATAAGGAAAAATTACATGCACTTATAGGTGAAAGTAGATGCACTTGTAAATGATTTTACTTGCACCTAGATGTTCAATTATTTACGAAAATGCCACCGCGTTTTTTTTTAATTTATTAGATCTGGACACGTGTCGCGCGCTGATTCGTTCGCATTTCCTTCCTGGGCACTTATTCGCACTTGAGTGCGTCCCTCTATATATATATATATATATATATATATATATATATATATATATATATATATATATATATATATGTATGTATGTATGTATACTAGTATGATACCCGTGCGATGCCTGACCTATAAATTTGTAGTAGTTAAATTTATTTTTTTTTTACATTGTTAAAGTATATTATGTATATTGTAAATAACGGAATTGACAGTTACATACGTTCATATGAAAATAATTATTATATAAATAAATATCCTGCCTTTTTAATAGACTATTTTTTATATATGGTAATTAATTTCATAATTACAAATAAAAATTCTTAATTGTAGGGAGACTTTTGCGACATTCTAATCTGTCAAATAATTTTAAAATAATTTATTACATCATTTCAAACCTTTTAATAGCTTACTTTTAAATTAATATATATTAAAAAAAATTATTCTACCCAATTATATATATCATTCCTAAATGTGATCCTAATAACTCTATATGATGCACGATATATATATATATATATATATATATATATATATATATATATATATATATATATATATATATATATATATATATATATATATATATATTGTATTATCCTTCTCCCAATATAGTATTATCCTATTATACCTATAAGTAATTAATACTAATACTTCTAATAATAATAATATTAACAAAAAGATTATTTAAATGTATATATCATTTAAATATTAAAACAATATTGTTACATAGAATACCTGTCCTGCACTATGCTATCATAACATTTTTTTTTTTGTAGGGAAAAAAAACTATTTTTTGTATCTTCATGCATGATCAGGGACGGAGCCAGGACGGAATAGTGCGGGGGGCCAACTACGATTGAAGTACTAAATCAAATACATCAATATCCTGTTAACGTATCTCAAAATAATCATTACATTACAAATTTAATAAAGAAATTTAGAATAAATCATTTATAATTGAATCTATATTAAATTATTTTGCAATATGCTTTTCAATGCACATGGCTTTGTACGGTTGAAAGAATGAAAACATTCACGCATGTTTTAAAAGACTATTGATTATTTCTTGGAAAACCCTATTCACAACATAACATAATAGCAATTGTTTTCTCAAATACATATACTACACAATTGTTACATTATTATGCATTTTAAATTAAATACAAAATTTATCACACAATCACAAATTTACATAACTAACCAAACAAATGTACCTTGATATCCCTGATTTAGAATCTAACAAAACAATTATTTAAGATAAACAATAGAATATGAAACAAAAATTAACCAAAAAAGTAGTTAGAAACAAAAATAAAAAATAAAAATTAACTTGATAGATTTTGTTAATGACAAATTATCTTATTATAACGTATATGCCGCATATATGCATGGTTCTAGAGAGAGAAACTAGTAAGTAGGTTAAATGAGGTTTAATTTGAATGTGAGTCAACAATATAGGGAATACATCATTTGAAATAGGAGAGAACTGAAAAAGTCGAGAAGATGAAGAAATTTATAACTTTACCTATAAGATTAATTAAGTGGAGGGGGGCCAAATATTTTGAAAAAACAACAAAATTTTAAAATTTTATATAATATTTTTAAATTTTTTTTTATACATATATAATATTAAAAAAAAATTGGGGTGGGGGAGGGGGGCCAAGGCCCCCCCTAAATATGCAGTTGCCTCCGTCCCTGTGCATGATATATGTGCTCTTGAAATTGGTTGTTTCACACTATTTGTCATGGTCCTCTCATTTGCTGTGTGATGTGTTCTTGTATATGTACTCCAAAACCTGCAAAATAGAAACCCAAAGCCAAAAGGAAGCACTGTTTGTTACCTAATTCTAATTGGTAATAACGAATTAGGAATAATTTAGAGAGATCTATGAAATATAGATAAGAATAATAAAATTCTATCAACTTTTGGAGTCCTCTCATTTGCTATGTGTGATGTGTTCTTGTATATGTACTTGTATATGTACTTCTTGATGGGGATATGGACCCGGGGGTCCATTTTATTGGCATAGTATTGACCCAAGAGGGGGTGGTGACGATAGGAGATTGGCCCAAGTTCTATTGGGCTAAGGAGACAAGAGGGAGTGGTGGCCCAAAACGGAGGAGAGAGAAAGATGTCCGGGGCACAAACCGCCGGTGGCCGGTCGGTGGTGGGCCGGCAGGGTGGCCCGCCGGACTCCCGGTGACGAGGCGTGGCCAGCGGGGGTGGTGCGCCACCGGTCGTGCCAGCAGCGCCCCACCAACGCGGGTGTGGGAGGTAGCAGCTGGGAGGAGACCATGCAAAAGGAGGGTGAGACGCTACCAGTGAGGGTCGAACACGGGACCTCCCACATAACAGGCGCACATCTAACTATTGTTTCCCAAGGCGCAGCAAATATATATGTCCTATATTTGCGGCTGGCAGCCTCCATGACCGGCCGTTGGCCGGCCGGCGACTGGCCGGCGCCGGGTCCCGCTGGCCACCTCAGGCCGAGGCGCGGCCAGCGGGGGCAGTGCTCCCCCCAGGTTGTCAACGGCACCCCCCCCCCTTCCCGAGGGGGTGCTGGGCGGGTGCGCCGAACATGGTGGACCGGGGTGGTATGCTTGGGAGTCCTGGAAGTATGGTGAACGTGCCCGCTTGCGTAGCGATAAATGGGGAAGTGGCGATGGATTGCATGGGACACGTGGATGCTAGAGGAGGATGGGGGTTTGCTATAAATAGGGGTCCTGGATCCTTAGCAAGGGGCAACTCAGACACGACAGGCACTACAGTCCAGTGGTCTTGATCTCATACTCTCAATCCAGTCACCTGGGTTCAATTCATCTCAGTAGCATAGTTAGTTATATCCCACCCCGTGGGCCTTGTTCTTTGTATCTGGGCCTGTACCTCAGGCTTTGTACGTATTGTCTTTGTACATATTGTTTAGGGCCTAGCGCCCCGGGTAATAAAGTCAGTACTTTCATACCCCCGTCCTATGTTCCTGTACCCGGTTTATGGTGGACCCGGTCCCAATAAAACCATCATTGGCACCGTCTGTGGGGATCGCTACGATTAGCCCGTGTTTGTAGTCTCTATCATCCTAGCAAGGTTCCGAGGTACGCCCAAATGGTTGATTCGCAAGAGGAGCTACCCTATAAGGTAACACACTTAGCACATCGAGACGCTACTCTGGTGAGTACACTTGAACACTTAGTTAGGCAAAGATTGTGTTTATTTTCCAGAACTAGGTGCCCCTATGTGCTCCTATGTGCTCTGCATGTTTAGCCCGCGGCCACCTCAACTATATGCTCATATGTGCTCTGCATGCTTGACCTGCGGCCACCTCAACTATGTGCTCCTATGTGCTCTGCATGCTTGGCCCACGGCCACCTCAACTATACGCTCATATGTGCTCTG